AAMYTTTTWAWTTTTTTTTYYCCCATTAATTTTTCCACCTGCTAGATGGAGGGCCCGATGCAATCCGGCTGCCTGGCAGCCAGGGCTTAACCTCCTGCTAACAGGAGTTAAAATTCCTGGCCGTTTAGTCACCCATCCGAAGTGTTCCTGAGCATGGAAAAATAAATGAACTGCAGCAGACTGAGGAGGCCGGAGGCTGGAGCCCGTGTCCCTGAGGGCTACGGGAAGGGGCAGGGATGGGGGACACAGGGCCGGGCTGTCCTGGCCACAGGGATGAAGCAGCCCCAGGCAGCACATGCTGGGGGGGGGGGGGCACTAATAAATAACATTTTCTTTGAAGGCAGATGGCCCAAAAATGCCTTTTTAGTTGGCTGCTGCTCTTGCTTGGGCTGGGCTTTGCTGAAGGGCTGTACCAGGCAAAGCCTGAAACAGCCCCTGGGCGTGGAGATGGCTCCGTCCTGCAGGAAAAGGGGCAAAGAGAAGCTGCAGCCCCCGGCAGGGCACACACAAACAGCCGGCGCACACCGATTTCCATGGAACGGGGAGAGGAGCCCTGGAACTTGCACTCAGACTCAGGTGAGTTTGTGATCAGTGGCCTCTGCTCCTGTTGGAGGGAACAGAGTTCATCTAAACCGTGTCAAAGCAGCTTGGAAACTGCAGGCCCAAAATATGGGAATATTCTTATAAAATGGGGGAGTCCCACACCACTGGGTGGAGTGGCCGATGCTCCAGAGGGCTGTGCTGCCATCCAGAGGGCCCTGGACAGGMTGGAGAGTTGGGCAGAGAGGAACCTCATGAGGTTCCACAAGGACAAGTGCAGGGTCCTGCCCCTGGGTGGGAATAACCCSMGGCACCAGCACAGGGTAGAGGTTGACCTGCTGGGAGCAGCTCCACAGACAGYGACCTGGGRGTCCTGGGGACACCAAGGTGYCCATGAGGCAGCAGGGCCCTGGTGGCCAAGGRGGCCAGTGGGCTCCTGGCTGCATCAGGAGYGTTGGGAGCAGGACAGGGAGGGGATCCTGATCCTGCCCCTCTGCTCAGCCCTGGGGAGGCCAAACCTGGAGCACTGGGGGCAGCTCTGGGCTCCCCAGCACAAGGGGCACGTGGAGCTGCTGGAGAGGGGCCAGCGCAGAGCAACAGGGATGAGGAAGGGCCTGGAGCAGCTCTCGTGAGAGGAGAGACTGAGCGAGCGGGGCCTGTTCAGCCTGGAGAAGAGAAGGGTGAGAGGGACCTGGTCAATGTGTCCAAGGACCTGAGGGGAGAACGTAGGGAGGAAGGGGCCAAGCTCTTCTCAGTGGTGGCCAGTGCCAGGCCAAGGGGCAGTGGGTGCCAGTTGCAGCGCAGGCAGCTCCATGTGCCCGTGAGGAAGAACTTGTTTGGGGTGAGGGTGCCCAGCCCTGGCCCAGGCTGCCCAGGGAGGCTGCGGAGGCTCCTGCTCTGCAGATCTGCCAACCCGCCGGGATGKGACCGGGTGCCCCGAGCTCTGGGTGTCCCTGCTGGAGCAGGGGCTGCGCTGGGGGATCCCTAGAGGTCCCTTCCAACCTGGGATTTTGTCCAAGATCTGTTCCRGAAAGCTACAGCGTGACCCAACAAGGTCCCCACTGCATTTAAGGGCTGCACAGAAGAGAKCGATCCCATCCGGAGGCACCCAGGGAAGCTCCCGCCGCCCCCGAGGAGCCGCATCCCGKGGGACGCGTCGCCCCCGCCGCGCCGGCCATCACCACAGCCACACGGCCACGTTAATGGAAACAAGTCTTTATTAAGTAACTTTTAATATCAGAAAAATAAAACTCTTATAATTCTCTTTACAGCAAATATATAATATCAGTGCTTTGGCCATCATAAGTTAAAGGCCCTTTATCATAAAATATATGGTTTTTAAACTTTACTCAAATTGAATTTATAATCCCTATGACCTCCCTACATATACATAACAAAAAGTGTAGTAAAATTAGCAAATACTAAACTATATTGATAGTTTCTCATTCTTAGTTTGTGGTTTATAGAAATGGTACACGCACCTAATGTCTGTCGATTCCTTGGCTTATTAGTTGCAGTGTACAATGCAATAAAATACAAAATACATGCTCGGTGAACGGCTGTTCCTACCTACAGGACTGCAGCTAAAGATTAGGTTCCAATACTGACATGTAACTAGTCTACAAGCAATTAGCATTAAAGTTATGCATTACATAATATGCCATCAAGGCAACTCTTATACTGAAAATCATAAAATAAAAACCGTTATTTGTAAACTTTTATACGAAATGTAACTCTTCAAGTGGAAATAAAAAATAAAATTTCTGTATATTTACTAGTTCAATACACATATAATTTCATTTCTGTTATACTGAGAAAAAAGCTTTGTCTTGGGAAAATAATGCTTCAAAAAAAATAGAAAAATCCACTAGAACTCCACTTTGTGTCTCTTTTTTTGTTGTGTTTTTGTTGTTGTTGTTTTAATATTTTGCCAGCACAGATTCGGGAACGCACTGAGGATGGGAAAGCCGGAAACATCCACAGGTTGAAATGCAAGCAGCGCATTCCAGAGACATTTTTTCCTCGCGATTGGAACGACAGTTCTTGAAATGACGTAAACTGATTGCAGGGCCGCAGCCGCGGATGACACGAGGGCATGCACGCATCTCCCCTTTTTTCCTTTCCATTACCAAAAATAAAATATATATTTATATATGTGCAAGACAAATATGGATTGAACATAAAAAGGCTTCACATTTTTCAGCTCTGTCTTCTCTAAAACGCAATTTAAGAACAGCTTGATCGGACTAATGAACGGAATGTCAGCATCCTCACGGGTAGTCGAAGTATGTGCATCCCAGAGCCCTTACTGAAACGGGATGAACGGCCAGACKTTTCCACGTTATGTTAAGGAAAGCAGTGGGTCGGAATTCACCAGCGGGACCGATACGTTCCTGATCCTCTCAACACCCTGCTGCTAACACGCTGGCGTCCGCGGGCAGCTTCTCCCCCGCCTGGCCTCAACAGGAGCTTCTCTGACCCTGCCAATAACTTTATCCATTTCAATAAATCAAATTCTGCTTTAAAAAAAAAAAAGGTATTTGCAATGCTGAAGAATTAGGCATAAGTTGTTGCATAAAGAAAAAACAAATTCCCCAAACCTGTTTTTCAAAACTGGCAGTGTAAAGAAGGCAGCATCGGAAGTGTTGGCTGACACATGGGAATGCCACGAGCCCCGCGGCAGAGCAACGCGCTCCCACCACCCCGGCCAAGCCTGTGGAATTCGGGTGCGGAGCCCGGYGCTTCCCTGGCGGCGACACGGACACGGACCACCTTGCTGTAGTGTTACCATAGCAGCCTTTCTACTCCGAAAGTATAAATTTATTGACAACTTTAGCCTAATCCCAAGAAAGCCCAGCAGTCAGAATTCATTAGGAAGTTTACTAGAGGGTACCATTACACCCATGCCTTTCAGAGTTTTAAAAGTTCCATATATAATAATATCTATATATATTTAAGAGTGAATTTGGATTGCCTGAGTAACAGCTGTCTGGCAAACGGGACATGATGGCGATTCTTTTTCACAGATTCTGTTGGCACATTCCATGCAGAAGAGGTTGTGGCCGCAGGGCACGAGGGCCGCAACGACTTCGCTCTCGAAGCAGACGACGCAGTCGTGCTTGCGCCGCGACTCGGGCGGCGAGCTCGACGCGGAGCCGCCGTTGGAGGAGGAGTAGCTGTTGGTACCGTTGGAGAAAGCAGGGATGTAGATGGGAAGGCCGGCGTGGCTGCCGGCGCTGGGCGGGTCGCTCCTGGCCCTCCTGGCGAGCGGGTGATCCAGGCTTTCGGGAAAGGTGGGAGACAGGCGCGGAGGGGACGGCTGGCTCCCTCTCCGCTGAGCTTTGGCGCTCGCCGTGGGGTCGCCRCCGAAGCCGGAGAGCGGGTTGACGGGCTCAAACGGGGTCCAAATGGTCTGGGAAGGCGTCGGCAAGGAGTCGTACGCAGGGGAGTCGACTGCCAGGTCTTCCGTGCCCACCGAYGGCAGCGTTTCTCCGAACCAAAAGTTGCCTGTGCTGAATGGGCTTGTGGGGCTGAAGTCAGCCAATCTATTGCTTCCGAAGTAGGAATCTGTGGAGCCGCTTCCCAAGGAGCTGGAGCTATCGTTTCTGTAATTGGAAATCATTCTGGTGCGGCTGGGAGGCACGGGGTTGGAGGCGAGCCAAGCGGAGCCGAGCGTGCCTCCTTCGAAGCTCACGTCGGTACCGTTGTAATGGAAGTCGTTCTCCTCGTTGAGCTCGATGTAGTTGCCCGTGCGCATGGCTATGTGCATCTCGATCTCCTCCCGGGCGCGATCCACGTTTTCGGGCATTCCCGTCACCTCGAAGACGGGCTCCTTGTCCCTGCTGGGCGTCACGATGTAGGTGTGCGTCTGCTGCTGGATCCTTTTGATGGTGGCTCCTTTGGGTCCCACCACCAGCCCCACGACGCGGTAGGGCACCCTCACCTGCACCGTCGTCTGCCCCGGCAGGTTGGGGGTGCAGGGCAGCCCTCCGAGGGCAGGGCCGTTCTTGTTGCGCGACGCTCGGATCATGGAGAAGTGCTCGGCGGCGGAGAGGATCTCCCTTTTGGCCATGGCCACGTCCTCTTTGCGTCCCGTGACGACGAASACGGGCTCCTCTCCACGCACGGGGGTCTTGATGTACGTGTTCGTCTTGGCCCGCAGCGCTTTTATTTTGCAACCTGTATAAAGGAAACACACGCAGGTTTAGCAACAAGTCTAAGTTTAGACAGCCACAAGAAAGCGGTCTATTTTAAGCTGAGAGTTTCAAGAAACTGCAGGGTGAAACCAGAGGCAGCTGTTTTCATCTCCGCAGGCCACRCTAGCGAAAGCGGCAACGACTTGGACTTGCTCTTTCCAAACAAATCTCTGCCCTTAACACCACAAACTGCTCCAGCAACACTGACTGGGCCGTTTGTGTCCGTCATCTCCATCGCTCCTATGAGACAGGGAATCAACGTGTGGTGCTTTTCCTCCTGGACATCAGACACATTCATGATTAACCGAGCAATAGTGATGGATTTGTATCTTTTCTCATTATTTTCAAGATTAAGCTGAACGCCTGCATTTTCATTCTAAACTCTTCRAAAAGGACTAAGCACTTACAAATACACGCACGTATCCTTAGATCTGACACCCCAGCCCTTTTACTGAAAGGTTCAGTAAAAAACCCCAAAGAACCGTTCAYGAGGGAGAGCAGGGTCTGTATCACAACTACACAGGGCACAGACGAGAGTCATTCACAGGGAATTCAGCCTTTGCTTCCTCTTGCCCATAAGGGGTTTGCAACCTTATTCTTCCCTGCAGGCTGAAATAGCCACGCCTTGAACCAAGAAGTCAGAGCTGGAGCAGTTTCTGTTGTGTGCAGCAAGTTCCCTGTGTAATACAATGTGCCTACTAGGAATATTTTTGTTAGTTATACAAATACAGCCCGAAAGCCGAGCACAGAGCCAAGGAAACCTTTGTCTTTGGCTTTGAGAGCCAAATCACACAGTCTGCTAGGACGCCCTAACGGCAGGGTCTCCCCTCCGGCGCTTACAGGCTCCTGCCACGGCCCACACGTAAGCACCTTTTACCCATCATGGGGCTGAAAAAACAGGTCCAAATTAAAATGGAATTGGAAAACAAGTCTYGCCAACTACTATTCTAAAGAGCACCTCATCTCACAACGACCGCAATGTCTTCTTGGAGTCAGTCTTTACTGCTAAGGCCCCATAAGTACGAGTCCCGAGACAAGAGGGAAAATCTGGAAAGGTGAAGACCTTCCTCTGGTCGAGGAGAACTGGGTTAGGGATTATTTAGGCAAGCGGGACACCCACAAATCCACGGGCCTGGATGGGATGAACCCAAGAGTGCTGAGGGAACTGTGGGGGTTATTGCTCAGCTGCTCTCCCATCATCTTTGGGAGGTCATGGGGAGCAGGGGAGGTGCYGGAGGACTGGAAGAAACCAACGTCACTGCAGCCTTCAAAAAGGACAAGAGGGAGGAGCGGGGAAGCTACAGGCCGGTCGGCATCACCTCCGTCCCTGGAAAGGTGGTGGAGCAGCTCATCCTAGAGAGCATCTCCAGGCATGTSAAGGAAAAGAAGGTGATCAGGAGTAGTTAGCATGGATTCACCAAGGGGAAGGCATGATTGTCCCCCCGATAGCCTTCTACAACGGGATCACTGGATGTTGCCTACCTTGACTTCAGCAAGGCTTTCAACACCATTTCCTGTGAGAGAAATCTCACCCTTACAGGAAAGYTTTTAGTGTGGACTRRAYGRGTRCACGGTGCGGTGGGTCGAGGGCTGGCTGGAYGGCAGAGCTCAGAGGGTGGTCATAAATGGGGCCGAGTCCAGCTGGAGGCCTGTGGCCAGTGGTGTCCCCCAGGGGTCAGTGCTGGGCCCGGTGCTGTTCAA